CCATGGCAGCCATGTATTTGCTCAAGCATCCAGACCACTACAAGAGCCACAAATTCTGCACATGTTTCTGGAGAGGATATGTGTATGAGGTGATGCGTGCATGGGAGGACTCTGCCAAGATTGCCGAGGAAGGAACCACCAAAGTCATGCTCGGACTTTCAGGAACATCCAAGCGGATCATAGCACTGTCACCTGTACAGGACTATATATGGCGACCCACCGAGTATGAGCACATGTCACTATATGATTGGGTCAGACTGGCAGACAAGCAGCGGATCACATACCGTAAAAAGGGCGCCAAGAAATCTGAAGAGCATATTGATGAGCATGCAGATGTGGACTCGGAGTTTGAGGACAACTATGATGTCAGTGATGCAGAATTGAAGGGTGCTGGAGCCAATGAAGAGGAAGAAGAATCGGAGGATGAACTCTTGCTCACAAAGACATGAAACCAGCAGCTTGAAGCAGATAGTGCACCTAAGCCAAAGAAATCCAGGTCAAAATATGTGCAGTTCCATGAGAATCATCCCCAGTATGACACCCATCATGTGAAGCTGCTGGATGAGTCTGAGGCATATGTCCCCAACTTTATTAGTGGTTCACTCCCCAGAAGAGATGCAGGCAACCGTGAACAATATTGCATGACCATGCTCACACTCTTCAAGCCATGGCGCACAGGACAGGATCTGAGACCAAGCCAGGATGTGCTCTGGGATGATGTGTTCAATGGCTATTCATTCACAGAGCAGCAGCTGGAGGTGTCATCAGATACTACGAGGAGGCATACCAGTTGATAAACAACACCGGGTAGGTATGTCTACAGAAGATACAAACACTGGGCAAGACTGTGTCAGTTGTTTGCATTATAGTAATTTGACCACATTGTGCTGACACCCATCTTCTCCCATAGCCAGCTTTACACTAAGCCCTTCAAACAGCATCAATGTCCTGCTATGCTGGCTCATACATGTGGACTATCTGAAAACCTCGCCTTTCTGCAGGATATAAGGCAACTCTTGATGATGCTCAACACCAGAGCAACATTTTCCAGCCTCCCACACCTGTCCCAAGTAAGACGGCACCACATACCTTTTGGGGATGCAGCAGGGGAGCAAGGCGAGCAATGAGCCCAGTTAGCACTGGGTGTTTGCTCCCCACAAACCTTGCAAAAACATTAAATGTTTAGTGGTGGTCAAGCACTTCATCGCTTGCACTTCACCAGGAATGTGCTGCGCATTTGCACAACCATGTTGAAACTGCCAGTGATATCTAAGTGGCACTGGTGCACCACTGTTCCTTCGAGCAGATTACAGCTTTACAGAAAGGGACAGCGTGCAATACAATGAAGCAGAAGAGGCCTAGTAGCGATGGCATGCAAAATCCTGTGCCAAGCATGCTGGAGACAATGTTACCCAATCAGTTGCAGCATCTTTGAGTAGGCCACTGTCTGCAGGACATGGTATAACAAGCTCACAAGAGCACTTTACACAGGTTCATTGCCACCCTAACCGAAGTTATACATTTACACCTCCCAGCCCGATGCCCGGACCACTTGAGCTCACTTGGGCTCACTTGGGCTGGCCTCCGGGCGGAACTAGCAGCTGGCTTATGTCAGATCACCGGAGGACCTTCAAACTGGCCAGCTACAGCCTCATGTGCCGCTACCACTACCTCCCACCCTACATAATGAAATTGTGGCAGGACATAATAGTCAGACCAGGCAAATGGAAGACCAAGCATGAACACTACATATATTGCATACAACAACTGAACAATTAAATTTGAAGCGGGATGCGGTATCGAAGGTTCCCCCTCTCCAATGAATGTCACAGTCATTGATGGTAAGGAAATTAAAATTGTAGGGACAAGGCATCAATGGCAAGTTGCGGGTTGATAGTCATATGTAGTGGTGGGGAGCAGGGGTCACCTGTTACACGTGGACCAGGCAGACCCAAGTGAACCAGCCATACTTCTGCAATATCTCTATTATTACTGCCTGGAACACACATATGAGCTGGGATGTGCGAGGATTGCAAGGGAAAATGGCCAGCCATTGACTACATTTTATTCTGTGGACAAGCTCTCAGCCAATGCAGATGACAATGCAAGCAAAAAGCAGCGCAGACAGACCATGAATCTAAGAAGGTCTACCAATATTCTCAGTGCTGAGCTCCAGGATTGTCTGTGGAATTTGTCGCACACCCTCACTGACCATCTGCCGGGAAAATTGACTCTGTGTGTGGGCATGCCAGTGATGATCAAGATTAATGAAGCGACTGAATGCTGTGTGACCAATGGAGCAGAGGGTGTGGTTGTTGGCTGGAAGTCCAGACACCCTTGATCGTCTGTTTTTCAAGCATGGATGGGAGCAAAGGAAGAGAGGCAGTAAATGGCTCACTAGACATATGCTGAATGCACTGTCCGAGCTAGGTGCAGCAGTGAGCTTCTGTCGTCACCATCTTTGGTCCCATCTGTGCAAATCCTTCCTTGCCTCTCTTGCCTCCCCTTGTCCCTGGTTTCCGCTACCATCTCCTCAATCTCACTGATGTTGAGTTCCCCATCATCATTATAATGCTGGGTGTCCAGGTCATCCAGGGTGGCATTTTCCATGTTGAATGGTGAAGGACCAGTCTTTCCTCCCTTTTTACGAGCTGCAGAAAAGTCGTCCCTGGCATCATTGCACTCATATTTGATGTGGAAGAATTTGATGACTGCGTCGGGTGATTATGCTTACAAGGTCCTGGCTGTTTCCCCTTCTATAGAGTGATGCCAGCACGTAGCAGTGTGCAATGCACTGCTGTGATGGTGATCAATACCCAGCACTCATCGCTCTGGAGGCACATCCAGCTCACAAAGGGCAGAGAGGCAGCTGGAAGTGGGTGGTGGCGATGAAGCTGTTGAACCTTGAACCACTGCAAAACAACTTGGGTAAGAGGGCCGTGTCCGGCAGGTACGATTGATGAGGATGTGGATATTCATTACAAATAATTATAATTATTACAAAGTTGGAGTAAATGTGAAGTCATACTTTCATATGTTGAAGAAAATTATGTGCCAACAATGATTACTTTGATTACAAAGTCAAACATCTAATATATATCTCATTCTATTAGCAATTACAAAGGACTACATTGATTATAAATATTGAGGTAATCCTACTCTACATTCTGGTATATACAAGTACGCTAACATGCCTCACATTCCATTTCAAGGCCCTGTGCATTGTCTTTGGCATGAACTGCTCTCCCTTCCACTTTCTGAATGAATGGATGAGTTCATTGCGTGTGATGCCTGTCACTTTGGGTGAGATCTTGCCCAGGTAGCGCAGCTTGGTGATTTCATCCAGCAGCTCAAGCTCTCTGAACTCCTGACGCAGACTCCCAGATATTCCACCAGTCAACTTTCTTGGGTCAAATGGCTGCACAATAATAGTCCCATTGTATGTGGATCCTCTGGACAGGCAGGTGTAGATTGACTGGTGAGAGCGGCAATTTTTGCAAATCACACACATTATGTGGCCGTGTACGTCCCTGGGATCCAAAGTCTGTCATGGCAAAGTTGGGAATGACTGATACCTGATCACGGGAAATGGACAGGAAATTTCCATTGGGCATCTTGCACCTGATCTTGCGTGACTGGTG